GATAGGTATGACTGTTGCTAATGACCTTAGGTCAGGCAAGGAACTCATTCTAAAAGATACTTCATAGATGATGCTTAGATGTTCAGATAAGGAGGTGGAGAGCTTTTTTAGAAAGTAGTCACATATTCCATCCAAACCAATAGAAAGAGATGGCTTCAGGTTGTGTAATGCCCTTTTCATGGTATCTTCAGTAAAATCAGTGTGGATTAGATCATTGCAATTGATCTAATTGCATTGTGGTACGAGAAGGAAATGAAGGGAAGATTCCATTGCTGTTGACAAAGACGGAACTAAAAAAATTGTTGAAGAGATTGGCCTTAACGGCATCATCATTACAATTTTCACCATTTTGCCCTTTTAGAGGTGGAATGGTTTTTGAGTCTTTAAATTTGGCGTTTACAAAATTATAGAATACTCGATTGGATTTCGTGTGTAACAGCTCTTTCTCTGTTTGCAGAGGTAAGTGGTACATTCTGTTTTTATTTGGTAGCATAAAGTTTTGTATTGGTTTTTGGTTTTTGAAGTTAGCTACATATCCAGCGCTCTACATGGGTCTGCCCCTGAAAAGTGTTTGGAGACTACAATTAGTCCAGAATGCAACTGTGCGAGCGAAACTGGGTGTACCTAGGTACACCCACATTACACCTATTCTCCGCGAGCTGCACTGGCTTCCCATTGGTCTCCGAGCACGATTCAAGGTGCTGGTTATCACCTTTAAAGCCCTACATGGCTTAGGACCCAGATATCTTTGAGACTGTCTTCTGCCGCACACCTCCCTAAGACCGATAAGATCGCACAGGATCTGTCTTCTCCAGGTGACATCAGCTGGACAATGCCGGCTGGTAATGCCTCGGAGTAGGGCCTTCTCTGTTGCCGCTGCGGCCCTATGGAATGAGCTACCCCCAGAGATCCGGACCCTACCCACTCTCATGGCCTTCCGAAAAGCTATTAAGACCTGGCTATTCTGGCAGGCCTGGGGCTGTTGACCTCTGGATTGAGGTCCAGCCCCGCTTAGATTGGGTGCATGTTGTGTCTTTTTAAATTTGTCGTGTTTTATCTGTTTTAAATTTCTCTTAATCTCTGTTTCTGTAAGCCGCCCAGAGTCCTCTGGGATTGGGCGGCCTATAAATTTAATAAACAGTTAAATAGTTAAACAATTATTTTTCTGCCAAAGGTTTTTTTTTGGTTAGGGGGAGATTGGAGTTTCCTTATTGATATGAGTAATTTGTTATTTTTGGCTTTGGGTTACAAAAGGTTCATATAGGTTAATGACTCCTTGAATTCCAAGTAGAAAAGTGTTATAATAGTCTTCTGCAGTGTTGCAGTCATGGAATATGATTTGCCAATCTAGAGATAAGAGGTCGGCAGCTATCAGATTATAGTTTGCTTTTTGAAGTTGTATTTAGGAGTCCTATTATGAGATTCTTCGTATGGATGTAAATTTAGACAAAATTCAATCATGCTGTGGTCACTGTTGGTAAAAGGTACTTTGATATGAAGGCTATAAATTGTGTTTAAGCTGTTGCAGAAGATTAGATCAAGGCAGTTGTTGAATCTAGTGTCAATAGTTACCAATTGAATGAGTCCTAAAGTAGTGATGGCATTATACAGGGTCGTGTGTATTGTTTCAGTTGTGCACTCAGTTAATAAGAGGTAAATTGAGGTAACCAAGAAAGATAATGGGATATGGGCATGGGGCTACCCACATTAGTAATGTAGCTGATTTGTTTGCATGGTCAAGGTCATAATCAGGGGTTCTGTAACATAATAGGAAGTGAATTGTGGTATTTAGTGACAGATCACAGATAATGGTCTCAAGAACAAGCTCTCATGTTACTTGAATATTTTTCAGATCTAGGGCCCTTTTTAGACATGATAGTCACTTGTAGTGGTAATGGAGTCTGGAAATGATTTGTTTAATCACGCTTCATAGACAAATATAAGGCCAAATTGAGCGGTATTTAGTAGGAGAAGTTCTGGCATTTTATTTGCAAAGCTTTTTGCATTGAATAGTTTGCATTTAAGATCTCTAGCAGTGAACTTGGATGATTTTGGGGCTGTGCATGCCTACTCTTGGATGTTGGGGTTTTGGGGTTGTAGGGATGTGAGCCACTGATGTTGTGTTTGGCGCAGTTGGCGCAGTAGTCAATGTATAGATCAATTGCTCCATGATCCATATGTCTTTTGAGCTCAGTGTGGAGCTCATGGAAGCATGCATGTTGTAAAATGGATAGGTCAGGCCACGAATGCAGTTTATTATGATTAGTGTGATTTCTGGCAAGTGTGCTTATTTAGTGGATGAATTTGTATTTACTGGTCTTACTATTGAAAATGACTTCCAGATGAATGGAGCCATCGTGCCATTGTTAGATTCCCAGAAAATAAAAATGAGTGTTTTTTTATTTAAAACTAATGTTTTGCCTAAAAGGGAGGAAAGGGCAAATGTTCTTATGGGAATTGGCAATTTATCTGGAGTACCTAAAATCCTGACAGAGGATATCTCATATTATTACCATCTAAATAACTTCAATTGCTTGTTTCCATTTTGGAATCCATTTTGGAATCTCTGAGTGCACATATTTCTCTTTGAAGATTCATACCATGTCCTTGAAATGCCAATCATATCTACTGGAATATCAGAGAGTTCTGTTTTGTCTCAGTACTTTCATAAGATAATCTGAGGGGAGGACATGACAGACCAGCATTTGCAGTTTTGTTCATGTTAAAGTAATAGTGGAGACACTAGTAGAGATGGTGGGTACACCTGGACAAGACCATCAGTGGGACAAATGTTGTTCCATTGTTTAAAACAATGGTAGCAAAAATCCTTGTAACATCATATGGGTGCTAAATGAATTACACCTCAGATAAACAGCATTTAGAGTGTTGGGGTAGGTTTTGTCCTGAATCATTTCTTTAATATATGTGAACAGTTAGGAAATAAACAAAGGAATCTGATACTCAAAAGAAAAGAATAATCCATTTTTTTCTATTTTCACATGGTTTTCATGGGACTAAAACATATTTAATGTCAGACATTGATAGGGGAAAAAATGTTAACATTTACTCTTCCAGAAATGAAATAGAAGTAATGTTGATTGATTCTGGTAATTCTGCCATTAAATTAAAATTAAAAATTTATGGTATAACATTTCTGCTTTAATTATGAAGAGCCGAGGTGGCGCAGTGGTTAAATGCAGCACTGCAGGCTACTTCAGCTGACTGCAGTTCTGCAGTTCGGCGGTTCAAATCTCACCGGNTGGAATGCATGGCATTTGAAACAAAGCAACTAACCTAATAGTTTAGGAAAGCATATTATTTAAGGGAGTTGTGGATTTTTTAAACAATATCATTGGAAAATGTCTATTACATGCAGGTAGGAGATACACAAACACACATGCATGTCTACAGCTCCTACTTTTATCTTATTCCTTTAAAAGAGAAGAAAAATATTGTTATGATGGTCTAAGGTCTTCACTGACTGCATCAGAATAAAAGTAAGGTGAGCGTTATGATATTACAAATTATTTATATTTAATTTAATTTTAATTATTTATGTCATAACTCTTACCCCATAACCAACTACTGAGTACTTAAAAAGTTTTGCCATGTATCTTGAAACTTGTAAGTGGAATAAATATTCTTAAAGAAGCTTGGATGCTAAAATAAATTTTTAAATTTAGTAAAATTTAGGATTTTACAATTTTTTCCAAATTATTTTCTGATTAAATTCTAATAAATTTGATTAGGAAGTGATAGCTAAAAATAATAAAACATAATAAAATTGTATGTCTATCAAGATAAATTAGTTATATAAAGGACTTTGGAAATGAAAAAGAGCAATTGTTGTAAATATAATGTGCAATAAAAGATATATTTGTAGATGTATCAGTAATAGTGGTAGCAGTGCTGGAGTAGACATTGATCTTGGATTTTAATTAACATGCAACAAATGATTAGGATGGTTCCTTTAATTATTTTTTCTTATTTTATTAATAGCCTTTTAAATAGTCAGTGATTATATTTTTCTAGTTTACTCATTTCTTTCAAGATTCACTATCTATGGAATGATTTTGGGAAATTGTTCTTTTCTAAACTCTTCATAATGTACACAATCTCAAAGGAGTTATTTTCATGCTTCACTTTCATTTGATAGTGGCCAGTAAAGAAACAGCTGATTTGAAATTCTGATGGGATTTTTTACAAGGAGCTAGTATATCAAGAAGGTCCTATAAATCAGAATAAAAAAAACCATCTGTATAATTATAGCACACAGTTGCTTTACATTGTAAAATTTCAAGAAAACCTCTTAGTTGACCAATTAGGAAAAATATGAAATATAGCTATAATGAATAAATTTAATTGGATGTAGAAGAAAATAAAATAATAATACTCTTCTTTAATTTTCTGAAATTTGGAGTATGTATTCAATTTGTGGAGAATATTTTCCAATATTCAGAATTTTTATATATACATTCATAGATAAGGAAAATCTAAATAGCTAGATTTTAGGGGAAAATGCTGTAAAATACAAAATACAAAAAAAACAACAACCCAAAGACCTGTTTGTGCAAAAATTAAGGAAATGTGTAGAGAAATGAAATGTTTGCATCTTTTCCATGATTTTTTTAAAAAAGCAAATCTGTACATTAATGTAGGAAAGGTTGGAATTAATATAAGATGTGAAAGATACAAAAAGTGAAGAAAATATTGACAAATTAATTAGTCATTGTTACAATTTGAAAGCATTCAATTACCTGAAACAGGTATTTCATTAAGACTATATATATAGTCTTATTTTAAAAAATCTTCATTGCTCTTTATAAGTACTTCTAAAATGTAAAACATGGTATAAACATAGTAAGCATACATTTGTATGTTAATGTGCATTTAATTGATCAGAAATGTTTTCAGAGAAATATTAAAACAACATTTTATGGCATTCCCAAGCTCTAGATTTTTATTCAAGTTATTTTTGACAGGCAGATGGTCTGATACTGATGAGAGAAGGAAATGGCTCAAGCGTGAAGGAATTTATCCTTCTGGGTTTCCCTGGATCTTGTGAACTCCGCATCTCTCTTTTTATGGTTTTCTTCTTCATGTATTTCCTTACAATCATTGGAAATGTATCTATCATAGTTTTAGTGAAGAACTTTCAGAGGCTTCGTACACCCATGTACTTCTTCCTCTGCAATCTTTCATTCCTGGAAATATGGTACACATCAGCCTGTATTCCTAAGATGTTGTCCATTCTTGTTGTTCAGAACCAAACTATCTCATCCATAGGGTGCCTCACACAGATGTACATTGTTTTTTCCCTGGGATGTACAGAATATTTCTTATTGGCTGCCATGGCTTATGATCGCTATTTGGCCATCTGTTACCCCTTACACTATAATATCATCATGTCTAAAACTCTCTCTGTACAAATGGCATTTGGTTGTTGGACATGTGGGTTCTTCATTATTTTGTTTCCAGCCTTCTTCATATCTCAATTGTCTTTCTGTGACGCCAATGTCATCAACCATTTCTTTTGTGACATTGACCCTTGGATAGTACTCTCTTGCACAAGCACTTACACAGTAGAAATTGTCTGTCTTATTCTTTTTGCAACTGTCATTATGGGATCCTGCATGATTACCTTGATTTCCTATATTTATATCATTGCTACAATCTTAAGGATTGCATCAGTTCAAGGACGTCAACGAGCTTTCTCCACTTGCTCTTCCCACCTCACAGTGGTGATTATATGGTATGGTGCTACCATTTTCCTTCATGTAATACCTTCCAAACAGCAGTCGCAAGAACTGACAAAAATAGTTACTTTATTGAATACAATTGTCACCCCCTTGTTAAATCCTTTCATTTATACACTCAGAAACACAGAAGTGCAAGAAGCATTGAGAGCTGTATTTAGGGCCTCAGTAACAACTTGTTACCCTCACAATAAGGGTAGCAAGTGAATTTCAAAGCACCCATAATATGCAAAGATAACAGTGCATTAGGTCATTATAATGATATGTGAACAATTAGAATAACTATTTGGAAACATATAATGTTCTGCATGATATGCTATGGCCCTTTGATTTAGGTTCTAGCCATTTTTAAAGCAATGAAAATGGAAGAAATTGCTAAGCATGCGCAGCATTTTTCCCCACCAGATTTAGAAAAAGAGGGGAAAAAATCCAAAACTACAAAATTTCTGGAGAGTAGGAATGCTATTTTTAAGAAGGGAACCAAAGGAGTACAAATTTACCCTTCTTTATGAAGAAACACTTATTAAAGTTTTGGCCTTCAGCTTAATTCACAATATGAATGTACTTGGAAATCCAAACACAAAATATTTTAATGAAAAATAATTAAACAAGCTGCTGTTGATGTTTTTAGTAAGTGATACAGATTATTTTTTCTAAATAAATTACACTCTCTGATTACAGCCAGAATAGAAGCAAGATATGAGACTTCCAGAAGAATGGCTTCACTGCAAGCTTATGCTCCTTTTCTCAGATACAGTTGGAGAGCTAATAGATCAATATAGAATATCCTTATTCAAAATGTTTCAATATCTCTACTGTACAATGTGCAATGCATAATTATGCAATGTGTATGTGTGGGTATGTTAGGAGGAAAAAGTTATTGAAAATGAGAAGGTCATCATTTGGAATACAACATGCCAGATATCACAGTTGTTGAAAACTGAAACGTACAATTTATTGACATCATGGTACCAGGAGATGCCAATGTCAAAGAAAAAGAACTGGGAAAGAAATCACAAAATACCACAAACTGGCCATCAAAACTATGCGATTATGAATTAAACATGTAACAGTGTATGTAAAGAGTGGAACACTTTCAAACGTTTGTGCACTTTCTGGTCCAGTTGACAATTCCATCTGAATAGCCTACCACTGGAACTGCCTCATGTATTAGTGGATTATTATTATTTTACTTTACTCATTAAACATGAAACATCTGTTATATTTAGAATTTTCAGATTGGTATTTCATTTGTCTTTTGGATATCTGGCTTCCTGACCTATTTCTTTCTAGCAATCCTTATTAGTCACTGTCTTTCTGGAATTCTAATATGATCAACCACTCCTTTTGTGATGTTGTGACTTGGGTTGATTAACTGATTTATTAGATTTAGAGACTACCTGACTCCAAAATAACTATAGATGGGTCACTTAAACACTTGTCAATGTGTTGAAATTTTAATTACTTTTCAATATTGTCCTTTCTTCCTCCCTCCCTCCCTCCCTCCCCCCCCCTTCCCCTCATTCTTTCTCAGGTAGTAGAACAGCAATATTTACCAGGAAAAATATGTGGGAAATATGTGGAAATAATAGACTGGAATAATTCTGAAATTCTGAATTCACTGGGAAATGTGGTCATCATAGCTTTAGTAAAGGTGATCCATCTGGTGCATTTATCCAGGTATTTCTTCCTTTGCAGTCTTTCCTTCCTGCAAAGATGGTACTGAACTGTCTGCATTCCCAAAATGTTAACAATTCTTTTGTACAAAAAATAGAATAGAAGAGAATGGAATGGAATGGAATGAAACAGAATAGAATTCTTTATTGGCCAAGTGTGATTGGACACACAAGGAATTTGTCTTTGGTGCATATACTCTCAGTGTACATAAAGAAAAATAAAATAAAATACATTCATCAAGAATCATAAGATGCAACATTAAGTGATAGTCATAGGTTACTAATAAGCAATTCAATTATAAAAGGGATCAAATAAAACAATATAAATTTTAGAAATACAAACAACATGGTTATAGTCATAAGTGGAAAGAGATAGATACTAGGAAATATATAGGTACTAGGAAGGAAGAGAAGAATAATAGTAATATAATCATAGTAGATAATTTGACAGTGTTGTGGGGATTAGTTGTTTAGCAGAGTGATGACATTCGGGGCAGGGGGAACTCTCCTTGTATCTAGTTTTGTTCTGGTGTGCCCTGTAGCATCATTTTCAGGGTAGAAGTTGAAACATTTTATGTCCAGGATATGAGGGGTATGTAGATATTTTCACAGCCCTCTTTTTGACTCGTATAGTATACAGGTCAAAACACAACACCATTTCCATTCTAGGTTATATCACAAGGATGTGTATTATTTTATCTTTAGGAGTATTTCCTATTATGGACATGTCCCAAGTATGCTGGTATGGACATGTCCAGAGAGCATCACTGACTGCCTACAAACTAGAAGTCAATGGCCAACAACCTTGCAAGCTTCCAAAACAGAGATGGCAAGACACCAACAAAGATATGCAAGCCAAGGGCCTGCACCTTGGAGATGCAGCTGACTGTGCAAAGTGGTGCTCAATGATCTGGAAAGCAGACCCTGCACTTGCAGGAATATGCTAGGAAGAAGAAGAAGATTTTATTTCCTATTATAATTCTATTAACTATTGAAATATAATGGGAATATATTGCTATGGTATTCAGTCATAGTATAAATAGTAGTAATAATAATAAGCTGTAGTAGTGGATTCTTGTTATGGATCAAAGATAAACTTGAAAGTGTGTTCAAATTTATTTATTTACAGAAAGTATCTTGTATCATTATCATTATTACATTCCATATCTCACAGAATATTATAAGCTTTATTTTACAAGCCACACATATGGCATTAACTGCTAGTAAAAAAAAAAGCTGAATTAAAGTGATAGTTTAGGAAATTCTATTTTGGCTTAGATCTAAATCCATTATCCAAGTGTTATTTACATTTATTAAATTTATCTTTGATTTGATACCTAAACTGATGTTTAATGGATGTTTGTTATTTAATAAGTTTCATAAAATAAAAGCTCTAAAAGAACATCAAATGATAACCTTCAACTCTACACTGAAAATCCAATCCCATTTTATATTTATATTTTTATTTTATTCACACACACACACACACACACACACACACCTACCTCTCCCTCCTGCCCTCCCAAACCCCATGTACACAGCACAAAGAGTGCCAGTTTGTTTTGTAGCAAGAATTTACATGATCATATATTAGTTTGATGCAAGTTACAGTCACCTTACATTTTAGATAATCATCATCATCATCAAGCTGAAAATTGGAAAAGCAAAGCTATGCATGGCCAATATTGAAAAGTATTGAAGGCAAAGCTGACCAAAAGCTGGGAAAACAACAAGAAGCACAACAGAAATGCAAAATGGATCAAACAGGTTGAGAATTCTGTTAAAGTGCATAAAATGGAAGATATAAAAATTACAAAAGAAATGGTGCAAAGGCAGTCAAGAAAAGTGAACAATTGAAGTGCACCTGGACCAGATGAGCTACATGGCTTCTAGCTAAAGGCACTTAGAAGTGTGCACGAAAGATTAGCAGCCCAAATGAACCAAATATTAAAAACACCTGGACACGATAAATGGATGACAACTGGAAGGACATTTTTGATCCAAAAAGATAAAGAAAGAGGAAAGGACCCTGGAAACTATAGACCAATCACCTGCTAGCCGACAACATACAAGCTACTTAATGGCATCATGGCAAATCAAATTTACAGATACTTGGAAAGAAATAACTTGCTTCCTGTAGAACAGAAAGGATGCTGCAAAAATCCAAGAGGAACAAAGGACCAATTGCTGATTGATAAACTAATCCTAAAATATTCAAAGAAAATACAAACCAACCTGTTCAGGGCTTGGATAGACTATAAGAAAGTGTTTGATTCAGTTCCCCACAGCTGGGTCAAGAAATGCCTGAAAATATTTGGCATCAGCAGCAACATACAAACATTCATGGAAACTTCAACGAACCTCTGGAAAATGAAGCTTATGGCTAATAGAGAAGAACTGGTGAAGTTGAAATTAAATGAGGCATTTTCCAGAGCGATTCCTTTTCACCCCTACTTTTTATACTGTCAATGTTACCACTGACAACCATTTTGAAGAAGTTGAACTGTGGATACAAACTTGCAAAGAAAGGACTGAAAATTTCACACTTGGTGTACGTGGATGATTTGAAGCTGTTTGGTAAAACAAAAGCTGAACTGAATTTATTAATTGAAAGCACAAAAGAATTTAGCCAAGACNAAAATATTTTCTGCAAATTGAAAACATATTCTAAATTTCAGTAAATTAACAAGAGTATCATTCCTTTATTTTTTTCTACATCCAATGATTAAATTTATCCATTATATCTTTATTTCATGTTTTTCTAACTCAGAGAAGGAAATTTTTTGTTGAAATTTTTGCAACATAATGCAAATGTGTGCTATAAATATATGGATGGTTTGGGTGTTTTTAACCTTGATTTATGTACTATCTTTACCCTTTTTGATATACTACCTTCTTGTCAAATCTTCCATCAGAATTCTGAATTAGCTGTTTCTTTACTGGCAACAGTCTGAAATAAAAGTGCAGCATGAAAATACCTATCTTGAAATTGTGTACATGATGAAGAGTTTAGAAAAGAATAATTTACAAAAAGCAATCCCATAGACAGTGAGTTTTGAAAGAACTGAGTAAACTGGGAGAAAAAAACACACTGACTTTTCAAAAGGCTTTGAATAAAATAATAAAAACAATTAAACAACCATGAAAAATTCCTAACCATTTTTTAGCTAAAATTCAGTTTAAATTAAAATCCAAGATCAATCTCTATCACTGTTACAACTATTGCTGATACATCTACAAATACATCTTTTAATGCACATTATATTTACAATTGTTCTTTTTCATTTCTGAAGCCCTTTATATAACATAAACAAATTTATATTTGCAGTCATACAATTTCCTTAAGTTTTATTATTTTTAGCTATCAATTTCTATTTAATATTTTTAGCTATAAATTCCTATTTAAATGTATCAGAATTTAATCAGAAAATAACTTGGAAAAATTGAACTTAATCCTTTGTAAATTTATTTTAGCATCCAAGCCTCTTTAAAAATATTTATTCCATTGCCAAGTTTCAAGGGACAGGGAAA